CAGAACGGTCATGAGACTTCTAGTTGGAGGCCACCTGAGAGGCGTGGTCCCAGGGCTGGTGAGGAGACAGAAACCCTAAGAGGGGAGTGACCAGCCAGGTCCCACAGACGGAAGGCAACTAGCACCTGGGGCTCGCGGCAAAGGGGATGCAGCCACTGTTTCTAGCTACTTTGACCCCAGGGACATTCCAAGGGGAATAACAAACAATCACTGGTATTTTTAGCTTTAAGCATCATCACATATTATGTACCAATGTATCATATCAGCCCAGGCTAGGTCTCCCTTCTGTGGTGGGGTTCGGACGGGGTGCAGTGGAGGTGGAGAGTGGGGAGGGAGGGCTGTGGTTGCCATGCCAACAGCACCATGGCAGCTAGCTCCCATCAGGACCGCCTCTTCCATCCTGTCTCTTCCACGCCCCAAAGCACCTGGGCCACCTCCTCCTACTTTATCAAGATAGCCCCGGGGTCCTTTCTTGGGCTCCTGACTCAATTTAGGATATAAACCTTGGAGATTAAAATGGGGGACTTTCCTCTTCAACCAGTTACGTGACTATGAGATGAATTAACACCATAGGTCTCCCTAGGGGTCTGAGCGAAAGCTGAGATGTGGGTGACTGACCCTAAATATATGAAGTAGCAATTACATCTGTGCGCGCGCGCGCGCGCGCACACACACACACACACACACACACACACACACACAGAAATGCAGCAGGAGTTACTTCCCCAAATGAAACAAGTTTCTCCCTGCTGCTCAGAAATTGCAATGAGGCTTCATACGTGTAGGCAATTCCTCACCTGATTAACAGATACAAAAGACAGGTATTTATGGGCAGCAGGTATAGCAGGAGAATAAGTAGAAGCATACACAGGTTCCTATAGAGCAAAGCAAGAGGATTAGAGGTGGAAAGAGAAGATTTATCACAGCGGGGTGGGGAAGGGGGAGGGACAAAAACAAGGATTTCTCTCACAGAAAGTTAATTTACTCATTGCAATTTCAATTCGCTTCCCAAAAGAGTCCGTCCTACTTGTTTAGTTTTTTAGAATGCTAACAGAAATCCCCACACAAGCACAGTAACTAGACCCAAGTCAGCTCTGTGCAGTAATTGAGTTACTGGCAAGATTACTGCCGTTTACGGAAGACATTCCCTGCCATACAGGGGAACCCTGACTTCCATGGACCGTTTTAACATCGAATATAAAATATCTTCTTTAACGTCTTTCAAGTTTTTTCATTCTACGGTTGAAACAAAATTTCAGGAAACAGGATAGCGCTCCACTCTGGATCAAGGTGGCATCTTGCCTCGGGATAAGAAAACCAAACAGAGAGGGGCACCAAGGGGAACCGTCGCGAATGAGAGTCACACGTGGCGAGGAGATCTATGCGAGGGTCAGGCTTACCCAGAGCAGATTAGAAACGGCATTATCATCTCTCAATGTTCCTTCTTCCTACAGGTTAAAACAAACAGGAGACGCTGCAGAGGGCTGGAAGGGCGGGGTCGGGCTATGATGTCACAATCATCCTCGAGAACTCTGTGCTGGGTTCCAGGAAAAGCATGCACACGCCCACACGATCGGGTGGCACAGACACCAAGCGAACTCACCACTCGTCAGTGGGATCATAATCTTTAACTTGGGGGCCGTACCAACAGCCTTCCTTGCCCTCTTAGCCTCGTTCCTTCAACTGACTTCACGCTCTTGAATTGTGATTTCGAATTTCAATGACACAGCCAATCAGGACACGAATGTGGCGGACTGATCTTCCTAGAATTTTCAAGGACTTGTTCTGGGGACAGCACAGACCTTAGCTTGATTCACTGACCTGACACGCTGATGGAAGCACAGCCAGATTATCAAATCCTGGTCTGTGACTCAGATGTGGATTCGGGGCTGTAACTACAAACTCTACACAGGGTTTTTATTTCCTGAAGAAGTCTGAAACACGATGATTATCTTGACCCAAGGGAACAGGAGTCACGTCTCTGCCTTAAATACTGAAGATGCCAAAATGCGGTTGGAATTTTAACTAATGATTTGGTGCAAATACATAACTGCAATTTAGTTGAAACAAAGAGACTCCTGCCAAATCCCTTTTCTTTCGAACTTGGCTTCATTTCATCTCTCTCACTCTTGGGATGGGATGAGTTACTCTGAAGGAAGCTGTCCACATACCATGCTCCAGTGGACACATTCCCTGCACTACAAGCCTGGCCGTACCTACAAACCAATGGGCTTTGCCATCTTTAGAACTAATTCTATACACTACAAGGGCAAAAATGTGTAAGTCAGGTTAGCAATGCCCTAAACCACGAACAGGAGGAAGGGAAGAGGGGCGGCGAGAGAGAGAAAACCCAAGCTGTTTGTCGTAGGAAACGACAGCGTCCGCCAGGTAAACGATTAGCACTGTTAAGCTCCAAATCGTCAGTCCTGATTTCGGGGGGATAAATTTAGAAAGCAAGGAACTGATGTTAAGTGACATCAGCTCTTGAGACATGACTGATCTTTCAGAAGGGAAAGGAAAACTCTAACTAACCTAAAATCTAACCTCAAATCTATTCATGGACCAAAAGAGTATTTTCTTCCATATAGGACCCCGGTGAGATGCGGGTTAGAGCACCGAAACTTTGTTTTGTTTTGGGACAAACCCTTTGACAGAACCAAAAACTGTTTTAGATTTTCAAGGCACCCTTTACATCATTTTTTTTAACGTGGCCGCATGACAATCTCTAATCACTCGTGTGGCTCGCATTATATTTTTACTGGACAGCGTGGATTTTCACAGGGGAAGTGATTTATATAGAGGCCGGTCTCCATCTCCTGCTTCCTCTGCTTCTCCACAGGCTGTAACTCGTGGGACCCTGCTCACTGCACACAAAAGCTCGAGGAGGCCAAAGGGTAAAATGTTTCGTAACCACGAATATGTGCATTTGATGAACTCAGAAACTGTGCAGGAAGTGATGAGCTGACTGTAAATCTAGTCCCTTGTCCCTTGGTGCAAAAGATGGAAGGTTCCAGGGCCTGTGCCCCTAGCAAGTCTAGCTCCAGCCCAGGCAGCAAGCTCCCATCTGCATGGAGCACGTGTCATGAATGTCCTTCCTTCTCCAGAGAAGCGTCTGGACACCCAGCAAGCCCTGGCCATGTCTCAAGCACCTCCCCCCGCCACCAGCTGCCCCGGGGGACTGTCTTAAGGCAGATCAGGTTCACCGCAGCTCTCTGCTTCATCTGAGCTGGCGAAGGCGTGGCTGAAATACACGGCCTGCCCTTGGGAAGACATGAAGCTAAGGGCTTATCAGAGGCCATGGGAAAACCACCCGACCTCAACAGAACTTGCGATTTCCCAATGCCTGCTACAAAAACTGAAAATAGGTGGGCTTATTTTAACTTCAAAGAGCTTATCGTCTTGGGCCGAAGTGAACTAGGTCACTCAGCAGGAGAGCGCCAGTGACTTCACTGCTGGTGCAGAACCCGCCGCGTCTGTGAGCCCAAAACACCACTTCCCACTCAAGCCAGGGGCAACCGCAGTCACCTCCTCCCATCTCTCGCCTCCTGAGAACCTCCGCCTAGTGTTAAGGCCATTCTGTTCTCACCCGCTACTCCCAGCCTCGGGTTACCCAGCCTCGGATGATCTCTGTCTCCAAAGTGGGCAGAGCGCTGAAATCGATTCCACTATTCACGAGTGCTCTACCTGGCTTTGTGTTTTGTAGCTTTACTTTTCACCGTGCCGTGCGGGACCTGCTAGGGAAGGTTTCTTTGCATCTTTCGACATGACCAAGAATGAAGCGCTAAAGTTATGTGTGAACCAATGATTTCAAATCAAGTTTTTAAATAAAGTTTGTGGGCAATGGGGATCAGTGATTTGAGGGACAGAGTTTTCTTTCACTTCCGGGTCTCATTCTGGAAATCCAAATTTCCTACATAGGTGCTGTAATATCCAATTAGATTTGAGAACTTTACAAATGGCTGAGCTTTAACTGTCTTTAGTCATTATCTTTAGTGTCACGTCTGTCTCAAAAAAGAGAATTCAGATTGCTGTTTCAGTTTAACCTATGAAAACCCAGAGGTGCCACAGGAAACAGTGTCAGAACTGTCTCCTCGCAGCCCTGTGGACACACCTCCTTTTAATGTAAGTTTCTGAACGCCTGAAGGTCACGTTCCACGGATGCGCATTAAATTGTTTTAGATTAGAAGGGGTCCAGGTGATCATCTGGTTGTAAGTATTTTGTTTTCCTTTTTGTTTGAAGACTTTTGATCCTAGAAGTTGGCCAGTGGGGGTGTGTTACAGCGTCTACTTTGCCCCCAGCCAGCAGGTGCATTGGCAATCACAGGGCCATGCAGTGGGCAAGTCACCGTCCGCTTTCAAAGTGTGCACTGACTGGTCAAAGCTGGTCATCATTACTAGTAATTTAACAATTACATTTGCCTATGAAGAAATGCTTGCCCGTATCAACAACAGTGTATTACTTTTCTCGAAACTTGTAACATACTTTGCCGTACCTTCTCAATAAAAGGCTTACCTGCTCATCATGAAACACGTCTTCAATTATGAAATAAGTCCTCACCGACCACAATCACGTCCTTCTCTTGTATACTCCCGTTTTCAACCTCGGCATAGGACATTCAAGCCCATATTTTATATGCAACTTAGAAACGGTTAGCGGTCAATGACTGTTTTTCATTCTAAAGACTTTAATAACATTGTAAAGTCAGACTTCATTTAAGAAGGTCTGAAACCAAAGTAAAAGTGCACACTTCCAAATTTAGGAACTTGCCTGCTGATGTATTAGGTACGTGGTGCTGTTCACAGTTCTAGAACATCTCAGGACTTTACCTGGTGATCAACTGAAGCCTCTGTGGGACAGACTTTAAGTGTGGACCCTCGTGGCAAGAGAGTGCTATGCTTCCCGGGGTAGTAACCAGTTAAGTTATGCATGCTCGCCTGGCGGGTGCACGTCCAAGCGTGATGTTAGTTAGAATGCTTTTCCCGTGCACGGACAACGTTACCTTCTTCTTGAGCGACTGTCCCGTTTCTTCGATGTGCAGGCTGCTGGTGACGGACGCTTTGCCATACTCCTGCTTCCTGTTAAGTCTGTTTCTCCAGTCTTCCTCACCACTTTTCTTCAACAGTGCTAATCTAAGGGGAAGACACGCCGACCAAAAAGAGTTCAGCACCAGCCCTTCCTGGTAACAGGACCACAGTTTAAGTCACCCAGAAGTCTTTGCCCAAGAAATGACCACAGCTGCCTAATTTGAATCATTCTGAATGTCACTTATTCTGAAGAAAGTCTGTCTGGAAAAATAGTACAGATGACTATATCATGCAGATTATTATATTTTCTAAGATGGCCCCCACAAACTTAAAATCGGATTGAAATGCAAAGCTGAAAACTGACTTTCCCAGATAAAAGAGGCAACATCATTCTACCAAAGGAATATCTCTGTTTTTTTCCTTGCCTTTGGGCTGAGAGCAGGAAGGAAAATAAAAGTAAACGTCCCCAGAGAAAAATGTCTTCGAGCGATCCCTTCTGGTCACTTGATGAATTAACATTTAATGACGAAAGCTGGATAGCAGAAATGGGTTTAAAAATTTAAAGCTATTGACAATCTCTGAATATCACATGTTTTAATTACAGGTAAAAGACGATGCTAAGATGTCCTGTATTCTAAGTCCTGTTCTTTTCTTCCAAATGAACTTGGTCTTTCCAATCTGCCTTCTTAATACAGAAACTTCTCTAGAAACCCATTTTAAAAATGATCATTTCAACTTTCCTCAGGGGAAAGCTATATACAAAAACAGAATCTAATTAACTGAGGTTTTTACCTAACCTACTTTAGTTCAACTATGGTGTGACTTGATAAAAAGCTGCTTGGATGTTAAAATCTATGAAAGGCTATTCTCACGGACATGAGGCTCTTTCAGTCTCGGGCATTTAAGTTGGACAAACCCAGGAAAGGTAAAAGGCACAAAAGTGGTGATCATTAAACTCATTTGAGCTGATGCTCAAACAATTTAAACATTAGGGAAAACAATGACTGGACTCCTTTCCCTTATGGTGAGTCTGCTGGGCTAGGTCTTTTAAACATTCATTAATGCGTGTCCGTAAAGAGTGTATTTTAAGCAACACATCAATGCTCATTTGGCTGTTAACTCCTGTCAAATAACCTGGTCTCCGTTCCTTACTGGTCACAGTGGGAACTGAACTAGATGGTTTCTAAGGGCCCTTCTACCGAGTGTCCTGACTGCATTAAATATTTGAATTGGAGATGCGATGAAATATATCATACTCCACGATAAAAGTTTAGCTAAGCAAATAAGAAAACAGATTTTGCAGTAAATGTGACTCCATGTACATCTACAAATTCATACAGGATCATACTGTATATTTGGATTTGCTCAGTCAAATAATGGAAAGCAAGCTATAAAGAACTCCCCAAGGAGTTCAAGGGGGGCAAGGGCTTCAAACTCTGGACCTCTCCCCTTTCCCGACCTCTTCCTTTTCCTTCCCTTCTCTCCTGCTATGTGACAGCAGATAAGACCCAATGTTCACTCCACAAAGCTGGTATAACGCCGCCTCATTTACCTGTGATATTGTGATTTATAATAAACATATACTTGGTCTTTGCCCCCTTTCCTGGCACAGAGCTACTACAACTTCTGGAATTTCCTGAATGATGAGAGTGGTAATGCTATCTTATGTGGATGAGGTGACTTTTGGAAGCATCTAAGTGTGGGCTTGTTGCCAGGAGAACCAACCCTGTGATCAGAGGGTTGGAACTTTCAGTCGCCCCCCTGCTGACCTCCAGGGAGGAGGAAGGGGCTGGAGATTAACTACATCATTGGCCATTGGTGATTCAACTCAATCAGGCCTATGTAATGAAGCCTCCATAAAAAAGCCAAAAGGACAGGGTTCCAAGAGTTCTTGGGATGGCAGACAGGCGGAGGTTTGGGGAGGGTGGTGCACCTCGTGAGGGCATGAAACTCCACACCATCTCCTCACACCTCGCCTGTGCATCTCTTCTATCTGGCTGTGCCTTAGTTACCTTCTTTGATAATAAACTTGAAGTCTAGTAAATAAATATATTTCTCTGAGTCCTGTGAGCCACTCTAGCAAAGTAATTGAGTGCAAGGAGAAGGCTGTTGGAACCTCCAGTCTGTAGCCGGTTGGTAGGTCAGAAGCACAGGTGACAGTCTGGACTTGCCACTGGTGCCTGCAGAAAGGGGGAGGGGCGGTGCTGTGGGACAGGGCGCTTACCCTGTGGGGTCTGATGCTGTCTCCGGGTAGACAGCAGCAGAACTGGGTGGAACTGTAGGACACCCAGCTGGTGTCAGACAATGGCTTGATGGTGAGGGAAAAAGTCCACACTGGAAACTAGAGTCAGAATCTTGTATCTAAGACCCTACTTGCTCTCAGTTAGCCCCAAAGTCTATAATCTATGACGCTTGGCAATACTCTGCATCTACAAGGGCTGGTTCATGTACTTGAAAACAGATTCTAATTTCCTTTAAGGGTTTCCATCTAAATGTCAGACTATGTAAGGACTAAGATTTATCTTTCCTCCAATTATTCTGAGTGAGTCAGTTATATTCTAACAGGAAAAAATAATCAAATAAAATCAAATCATGAAAAGAAATCATGAGTATTTGCACGCTGCAGTAGAGCTTTCAAAGCGTCTATAAAGGAGACTTCCAAAATGTAAGCATGCCAGTACCACCCAAATGAAGATGTATTTCCAATTCCTCATCTTGTGAACATGGACACTCATCTCATGGATACTCTCCTTACCGCTCAGAACCAGCTCTGACTTCACCCTTGACCTAGACCAGTAGTTATTTATCTTGGCTACCTTACCTTTGTAATCAGATTGGAGTCCAAGTGATTTCAGAGAAATTAAAAAAATCAAATGCAGCCTCAGAAGTTGCATTTATTAACAAGAATGCACTATGGTCTTTAAGGGCATTCTCAAAAATAAGGTCCCAAATGTCTGAAGCCATGCCAACATCATCTAAATAATCACATGGTTACCCTGGTGGCTGCACGGAGGAATGGAAAACTGATTTAGAAAAAGGCAAAGTATGGATCTGTAACCACTTTGTAGCCCACCGCGTACCCACTCTGCTGATCTGCTCAGCAACCTCTAAGAAACTGGATATTGTTGCTCCGAATGAGACATGGGTGCACACACAAGGCCAAGGATGTCACTGACCCAGGTCACCCTGCATGTCACTGAGGCAGGGAGCTCTGGTTCCAATCCCGGCACATCCTGGCTTGTTTCACCAGTTGTGTGGAAGCTGACCAGGCACGTTTTCGCTCTCATGCGTTAGGAACTGCACTGTAATTCTAGCTTTTTTATATATTTCCCCCCTCTCTTGGGATAGCCTTCAAAGAATTCCTCCATTCCGAGAGCTGGAATCTTGCTATTAGATGCGCTGGCAGGGTCATCCTCAGGAACTTGCAGAGACTACAGAGTAACCAAAATAACATGGAAGAAGCGGTGCTTCAGTTGAACCCACCTGGTATTAGGCCCAGCCGGAGCCTGCAGAGTGCAAGTGACGGAAAACAAGTAACACGCACTGAAACATACATGTATTATTCCTGTCCGCTTAGATTTCCGACCTGGTGTTGAACAAGCTGAGGAGGGCGGGTGCCTTCTCTCCTGCAATCTCATGACGCTCCTGAGTCCCCACAGACCACCGTGCACTGCAGAGGGCTGGGGTGGGTCGGGGGGCAAGCGTCTGGTCCTGCACATACCATAAATTACTGCCTAGGCAACTCAAACAGCTGTCAGCACTTTTAACGTCCGCCAAGTCCAAGTGCTATTTGCAGGGCTGGGATGTTGAGAGCCTGGGCATCTGCTTAGTCTGAGGCTGAGAACCCGTGAGTTATTCACCCCGAGGCCTGGCCGGGGCCACCATGATGGGTGCTTGCCAGGCCACTGGGGAAACGGCTCTCCCTCCAGCCACAGCCCCTGCTTTCCCAGCAGGGAATACTGGCCTGAGGCGGGCTGTTTCAGCATTAGTGCTCTGACAGCCCTGCTCGATTGCAACAAGTTTTGCAGGCTCACGGCAGCCAGGGCTGGGTCAGATACGGGCCCGGCAAACTGAGTGCCTCTAAGATGCAGTACTTTTTTCTCCTCCCTCCTTTAAAAAGGCCCCCTCATTTCAGAGAATCACAGACACCACACAGATAAGGCTGAACAGCACGGGTTGGTCCTTAGATCAGATCTTGGCCTTGGCTGGTTTATAGGCTGGAGGAGTGAACTAATATGTCTTTTATATGAGGTCAAATCAAAGATCAGAAAAGGAGGCAGCAAAGGAAAGACACCTCTGTCCGTAATGCCAACACAAATCTGGGGCCCTCCAGGGGCTGAAATCTCTGGGCCGCAAGGTAAGAACCTCGAGTCTGACTGGGTGGAAGGTGGGGCTCGCGGGGAACACAGGGGGACCCCAGCCAGGCCCTATAAGGCAGGAGTCTGCAGGCTCAGCCAGAGGCATGGGCGGCCTCTTCAACATTCCTGGGAGTTCAATACATCCTTACGCTCCATCAATTTCCCGGTGGAAGGACGGCTCTTCTGCCTTTTTTAGTCATCTTCTCCCCCCGAAAATGAAAACACAGAGCAGTTGTTTCAGTAACGGTGGAAAAAAGATTTCTAAAGGCCTGATAAACTTCTAAAGAGGTGTCAAAGGTTTTATCCCTAAATAACACAAAATATATTCGATTTACCATGGTTTTCAAAGACGTGCCCCACAAGGGACAATTTAAAGCCAAACCACGTAGGCAGTTATGAAACAGTGGTTTTATTAATCCAATGGGAAAAGCAAGATATATCCTTAACTTGATATTAGTTATGATCCAAACTTGACGCTCGAGATGTCGGAAAAGATGAAGAAAGAAAAGGACCTTTCAGATATGTTTCCCCGACCGTCAAACATGTTCTAAAATAGGAAGGTATGGAGGATTTCCTCTAATTTCTCAGTTGCTACCCTTTCGTAAGTCTTAGTTTATATCTACGAAATGGGGATAGTATTGCCTCCTTCAAAGGGCTGTCTTCAGCCCTCAATAAGGTCACACAGGGGAAATGCCTTGGGCAGCCTAGGAGCCTCGGTGGTCCTCGGTATGGAGGACTTAAGATGCTCAAGTCCTGAGCAGGAAAGAGACAGACGCACAAGATCAAGGAAGGCAGAACCACATCCTCAGGCTGTAGCTGCTTAGAAGAAACGATGAAGGAAATTGACAAAGTCCCGTCACTACTTCCGAAGAGTCTGAAACATGAAAGTGAAATTTGAAACAAGTGATGCCAAGAACACGTGAGTTGAGAAAATTAGTACAGGAGGAGGGTGTACTCTTCCGAGCACTGCTGTCCAGTTAGAATTTCTGCCCTCTAACCGATGTCCCCCCGTGAGAACACACGTCCGTTGCTGAAACGCTGACCTGAACACACGGCAGCCTTGTCACGTGTACTGAGGGGAAGAGTTGACGACCAGCCCCTGGGGGTGGTCCTATTGGCCACGTGGCCCCAGAGGCCACTGGAATTCAACCTCTCCTTCCGCGAAATGAGGCGGTCAGAGGAATTAGAATAAGGTTTAAAAGTTCTGTTTTATATGTCATCTCAGAAAAGGAAAGCCCAAATGAATATAAGAAGAGAGTACTTATTTTTAATGGTCAAGCGTCATTATCTTATTTTAACAGAAGGGAGTAATAGAGACCCCCGCCCTTGGGGAAAAGCTATCGCATATGGACCGTAAAGTTATATAGCTTTAGCAAAGTACAAATAAAAGAACCATCAACATAAGGGGGGGGTGTAAGATCTCTGGCAATATATTTTGTTTTGGCGTAATTTATTACAAACATAAATGCTAAATAAAGTGTCCCTCCTCCTTTGTTAAATGTACAGTTTGACAATTAAACTGAATAGCTGAAAATTTAAGAAGCATTCTCACGATCATGCTTCTGGACAGGATGGGACCAGCAGCCTGTTGGATCTGTGAGAAGCGCTACCTCCCACCAGCCAGGAGGTCCGTGTGTAAGCAGTCGGCTTTGAACACCCCTCCAGGCAGCTCACAGCAACCTTACAGCCACCCTTCATCTCCTCAGACATCTACAAAGCCCGGGTTAGGGAGATGCACCTTTACCGCATCTCGCGTTCTTTAAAAATTACAATTTTACAGCAGGATTAAAACTGTTTTCAGAAAGAGAGAAACTAAAATTCACTAGAAACAGGGAAGTGAGCCAAGAATGACTGCATAGCAGATAGGACATCTGATGAAGTTTTTTGTCTAACAGACAGAATATACCCCAAGATGGGGGAATCTCTTTAAAAGCCTTTGAGAGAAGGGGTATATTATTATTTTCTACTGGAATTTTACCCCAAGGATGTTTTCTGATGGGTAAAGCATCAGAACTTGTGTATAAGTGGATACTTACCATTATTTCCCTTAAATGGTACCTCGTCCTTCTCACCTAACCAGTTATCAATAGTTGGGTCTCTGGAGGGTGTGGAGAAGAAAAGGGAACCCTCCTACACTGTTGGTGGGAACGTAAACTGCTGCAGCCACTATGGAGGACAGCATGGAGGCTCCTCAAAAAACTAAAAATAGAACTACCACATGATCCTGCAATCCCACTCCTGGGCATATATCCAGAGAAAACTATAATTCGAAAAGATACATGCACCCCTATGTTCACAGCAGCAGTATTCACAGTAGCCAGGACATGGAAGCAACCTAAGTGTCCATCGACAGAGGAATGGATAAAGAAGATGTGGTACATATACACAGTGGAATATTACTCAGCCACAAACAAGAATGAAATAACGCCATTTGCAGCAACATGGTTGCAGCTAGACGTTATCATACTAAGTGAAGTAGGTCAGACAGAGAAAGACACATATTATATGATGTCACTTATACGTGGAACCTAAAAAATAATACAAATGAGCTTATTTACAAAACAGACTCATAGAAAACAAACTAATGGTTATCAAAGGGGAAAAGTGGGGGGGAGGGATAAATTAGAAGTATGGGATTAACATATACACACCACTATATGTGAGATAAACAAACCCTACTGTATAGCACAGGGAACTATATTCTACATCTTATAATAACCTATAATGGAAAAGAATCTGAAAAAAATGAACATGTAACTGAATCACTTTGCTGTACACCTAAAACTAACACAATATTGTAAATCAACTATACTTCAATTTAAAAAAAAAAGTGAGGTATCTGGGATCAAACCCTCTTTGAGCCAGTTTCTGTGGAGAGGACTTCATTCCAGAATGGGCCAAACTGCTTCCCTGATCCAAGTGTCACTCCCTGTATTTAGCTCCACCCCTTTGGCCCCAACACCCACGCCTCCTCAGTCTGGTCAGTGCCGCTCAGAGCAAGAAAACTCCTGAACAGTGGAGGTGCTAAGGAGGGATCAGCGTGGCCAGAACCATACTTCTGCCAATCAAATTGGGAAATTCACGAGAACATTCCGGACCCAGTCCTCCTTTCGCTCACATCCTCCGCTAAAGGCTGACACAGGAAATACAACCCCAAATATTTCACTCCGATTCTTTGTATCTGTCCCCTTTATCTCCTCTGAACCCTCCGTGACTTCTTTGAATGAAAGGAGCGTTCAGTGTTATTTAATCCTCAAATGTAGTCTTTCATAGCTATTACCTGATAGGAAATGTCTAAATGCAGTGCGGAAGACTCATCCATTTTACTTTCTGTGAAATAAACAAAACTCAGATTCTAATCCCGAGGATTTCTGTCCTAAATGTTAATTTGTATCCATTCCCTCCACATATAATTTACACTGACAAACAGTCACAAGCAGTGGACACGTTCAATTTCAAGCCCTGTGTATCTGAAAGGGAAAGAGCCCAGATCTCTGCTCCCGTCACCGGCTGGTCAGAGAACCGAGTATAAAAAAAGAAAACAGAAGCACCAACAAAAGAAGCAGGCAAAAGCCTGTTTCTGTTTGTCTCCTCGTCTGAGTCTTGAAGCAGCATCTCCCAGCGTCAGGAAACCAGGCATGGGGATAAACGCGGTTTCCTCTCAGATGCCCTGAGCGCACAGTCCCTCTGGTAGCTGGATTCATGAGTTTCTCTCTTTGCCCATTCCTCAGATCTTTTTCTATAAGTAAGTTGTACGACGCCCTCCCACCAGTAGAGTTCCTTCTCAATCATTAAATCTCGTTACCTTTCTTTAATGGACATGGTTTTGCTGGGAGAGTCGAGGATGCCCTCCGCCGCTGGTGCTTTGATCTCTTCAGCAGCAAACATTGCACACGGACTCCGACAGCGCTTCTCCTGCGGCTGTTCAGAGGGATCTTGCTGCTTCCAGGACACGGGGGTTGCAGTCTGAGCGACCGGTCTCCCAGCAGCTGTGCCCGTCTGCTCAGCAGTGGGATCCATGAACTCTGCCGCTGGGAAGCAACGGAGCCCTGTCAGCACTTACTCCCCTGCGCAAGCATTCTTCGAGCCCTTCACCCCGACCCCGACCCCGGATGACCCGCACTTGGAGTTCAATCCGTGGGCACATGGCAGGCTACCCAATCCACTTGGATTTACGCAAATCTGGGGCATGCTCTAGTCCCTGAGAAAACCAAACTTCCCAGTGGATGACTCCACCCAGCGACTTCTTTTGTGACAACTGGTCTTTTCCTGCGTGCGGCACACAGGAAGTTGGTTTGGACTGCACGCTGCAGAATGTTTCTACGCCTCCAAGACAATACTTTGACATTTCACATGGGTCATACTCCCAAAGCAAAGCCACTATTATAACTGACACACTATCATTTTATGGAAATGCAGAAAGAGAATTACAGTCCCACGCAGCACGGCTTGCCAGTCTGCACGAGAAGGATCTAGGAAGAGAACCTGAAACCCAGAGACTGGGTTCCAGCCCTATCCCCTATATGCTCACCCAGCCCGGGACCTTTGGGGTCACCAATTTCTAAAAGGGGCCAAAAGAGCTAGGGGTTCACAAGGCTGTCGTGTCAGTTAACGTGACAAAAGTCATCAAAAGCCCTTATCAAGATGTGGGGAAGCGCTTCAGGTATTTTTATGGCAGAAACGTTGATGAGCCCGCCAAACAAGTCGGGTCCAAGAGGAGGGTACGATTCGCACTAGACTTTCAATCAACACTTAACACTTAGTTGTCAACTGCCTTCATAATTCAGTTAAAAACAATCCCAAACACATGCGACCCGCCAAGCAGGAAGGAAAGGAGCAGTAAGTGGTAAGCTACCTTTCAGTGAAAACTTCCTCTTCGTGACATTCTCCACGTCCACCTTCTCTTCAAAGAGCTGCCTGTCCTTCCAGTCCGGGCTCCCCTGTGCGGTGCTTTGTGCAGTGGAAAATTCCTTCGGTTCATCACCGAACTGAGCCGCGGGAGGATGGGCGAGCTCCAGGCTTCCCTTTCTCGGAACAGCATAGATGGGTTCCTTATGGCCATTTCCTTCCCGGACTCTGCTAAGCATGGGGTAGGATGGCTCTGCTTCCTCGAAGGACCCGTACTTTGTAACACCACCATCTCCACCTGTCAAGATTCCCTTGCTTTCTGTCTCTTCAAATTCTCTCGACATTCCTTTGCTCCCACCAGCCTCTACCGAAGACTGCCAGCCCTGGGATTTCAGGATGCTTCTAACTGGGGAGTCTGAACTTTCTAGCGAAGAAGGAAACTTCTGCTCAGCGGCACCGGAGCTGTCATCCAGTGGTGGCTTTGTCCGAAGATTCCCTGCGTACATGGGGGTGACGGTAGATGCCGGGGTGGACACAGATATGTTAACAGTGGGGCAGAAAGGGCTGAGCTTGCCACTTTGCACCTGGAAGGACACAGTTCAAAAGGAAAAGGCTGATTTAAAAACACCACCTAGGGAACTCCCTGGCGGTCCAGTGGTTAGGAACTCCGCACTCCCAATGCAGGGGGCCCGGGTGGGGGTGGGGGTTGATCCCTGGTCAGGGAACTAGATCTGCAACTAGACCTGCATGCCGCAACTCAGACCTGGTGCAGCCAAATAAATAAATAAATATTAAAAAATAAAAACACCGCCTATGTAAATACTGCTGTATGGATTGTCACGGATGGAGACACTACACTTGGGGCAGTTTTCCTGCTTCTCTGGGTGAGAAACCAATCCTAGACGTAGATGTACAGATGCGTCTCGTTAACCAAATCATCTGGGTGAAAAGCAGGTCATGCGCCCTATTTTTCTCCCCGAAAGAGACCCAACTCCAGATGATTTCAGCCATGATGCGAACAAGAGAAGAGATACATCCTTGGCATGGTTATATCCTCCTTAAGAACGAAGCTATTACCAAGTAACGACAGGTGACACAGTTTACAGGTAGACTCCCTAACTATACCGCTAACCTCAGAGGGACACCGTGTTCCCATATTTTAAGGACATACGTGCGAACTGGAGCTGGATCACAGGCCACCCACCTGTTCCACCTCTCCAAGCGTGACCGGCTGGGTTTGATAGCGAGCATTCATCCTCCTGTGTCTCACGTCTAATCTGTTCCGCGTTGAAATCGCTTTTGAGACCGGCTGGGACAGTTTGTTAAACAAGGCCAACTTCTCCGCTAAGCTCAGGGTGGAGAGGTCAGGTTCTCCTTGCTCGGCAGAATCTTTGCCCTCATTCGTCTGGTCTCTGGCTAACGCCTTCTGGTGAGCAGATGCCTGCAGTCTGAAAGGGGGGAAAAGTCAACCACACACAGGGAGACAAACAGAAGCCCACTGCTAGGTTTGCCTGTTAACTTTCTTCAAAGTGTCACTTCAATTGGAAAAAGGGCTTATTTTTCCCGGCAGCTGGTTAGCTATTAACAAGACGACAGCGTAGGCTGGGGACCCTCGCATGGTCAATATCACACAGAGCAGATTTTCAGCTCTCAATTATTTCTAAAAATTGAATTGCCTATTTAAGGAATTAAAGTCGCCTTGGTATACCTTATCTTGGAGAGCTGAGCTGTACTGTTAGTATCAACAATAAATACGGCTAAAGGGAGTCCGCAGACATTACCTATGGCATATTTAGACATTATCTAAAGGTGTGGTTCTGCAGGTGGTCTTTACATCTTAAATAATTAGGAAACAACGCAGTCATTCTATCAACAGCGCTATCTACAATGCAGGGTTTTGAGTTTCACTTGCTAAACACAAATAGCTTAATTGTAAAGATTCTCTCCCTCTTTTTAGTCTAGTATTTTCTCTCATGGGTTTCTACCTGTTTCCTGAAAGGTTGTTAAATCTGAAATTCCAGGTAACTTGCAAAGTGAAGGAAATGTCGGGGCTGATAAATCCCTCCCACTTCCAGGTAGAGGAGAAGGCTTCTAGTTACCGGGTCAGTTCATCTTCGAAGGTCTAAGACAATGTCCCTTCTGCCACTGGAAAATCTAATTCTAAATCCAGTGAAAAATATATTCTGCCTCGACTCTGATTAACCAGCGCCTCACAAGTTGTCCCAGGCGAGAGCAGTGTCAGTTTTCCAGGGCACAGTGAGGATGGGAGTAAGGGGACCTGAGTCTTGGCATCTTTCCTGAGGTCCAGCAAAGAACTAGGAATGATGGCAACCCGCTTCCCCAAAGAGAGCCCCACTTCTGGACGAGGCCAGCTCTACTTCTGCACTGTCATTTTCCTTCTTTTAATTTTAGCTTTAGCCTTTGCATTTGGCCCATAATAGTAAAACGGAGGGGATATTTACATGCCTTAAGGACATCATTTTAAAACACCACCATTGAAAACATAACAGTAAAACAGTAAAACATCTAAGTTCAGACACTATAAACTGTTACTGTCCCAATCCCCAAATATAACGGCATTGTCTCTCTATCCATTAGAAACAGGTAGGATTGTTTTTAAACATGTATTTATGTCTAGAAGTGTTTAAAAAAAACCTAGGTATTATCAGACTTTCAACATTCAGGTTAACGTCCTATTTTTCTGTTAATCTTTAGTAAGTGCTAGTGTTTTAGATGAAGAATGAAACTTTTTAGGGATGACCAGGGTTATGAAAAACAAACAAAACAAACGGATAAGTGGGTTAGTGGGATCCGAGTTCCAAGACATAATGAAAGCCCGTGGATGAAATGCTGTCATATACAGGCCGACGTGAAGTCCCCAGGGTGACAAAGCAAAATGCCCCACGTTCCCTGGGACAACTCCTTGTTTGTCAAACAAATGACAGGCATTGAAGACCTGAAGATGCACCTCTGCTCTCAGTGCGACATGCAGCTACTTCTGTCCAGTACCTGGCAGGCTGCCCGGGGCTCTTAGCTACAGTGGGACTAGGATGTCTTGTCATTACAGGGTGGGTGGCCACAGAGCACGAAGCAGGGGTAGGTTCGCTTTAAAAGCAATTGCCAAAGATGGAACATTCATAAGGAGAGAGAAGAAAAGAAGCATTAAGGAAGGTGTAGTTTTCAATTCAGAAACATTAAATCAAAAAATATTGGAACAAAATCCTTTGCTCATTTCTTAGGGAAAAATCACAAAAGAACTTGAAAAGCAATTACAAACTTAGGAAATAAGAGACAGAGGTGACCAAAGTCAGTGGAGTAAGAATAGGTTTTCAGAGCTTGGAAAGGATTTAGAATATTTAGAATAAGTTCCCGGTTTAAAAAAAAAAAAAAAACTTTCAAGAAAGCTAGTATTAACCAACCACCAGCAAAGCAGTAGGTTGTGTCCGTGTTTTACAATGTTGTCCTAAGCTATTTTTAAAGAGTCAGGGTCCTCGTATAACCTATAAGCACATCAAAGTACATTCAGCAAGTCTGACAAGGGGATAATTTTTGCTTATATTTACTGTTTTGCTCCCAGGGGTAGTTGCTTCTTATTTTACAATTGCCGCTCAAATATTAAAAACAAAAACAAAAAACTGATTTGCTAAGAGTTCCCAATGAATACAAGATGTACTTGTCCACAAATCCACAGAGAAGTGAAGGAAGTTAGGGCAGCTAAGTTAACAGCAGGTTCACAGTTGGGCTGTTGATGCCCTCGATGAGATGAACTTCATTTTTTCAGGAAGGGTGTGTATATGTGTGTGTCTGGGGGGAAAACAATTTTTAAAAAAACTGGTAAAAGTTTTCACTTTAATGGAAGCAGTAATCCCTGGATGAATTACTTTGGGAGATTCATTCTGAACACATTGGGACAATGCTCAAAACCTACCTCCCACGGTTTGGAAAGTTATCAAACTTCCAATTAATCTTTAAAAATTCGTGATTATTTAAAAAAAAATCAAGAGAACCCTTATCTTTTTGAGATACAGACTGAAATATTTACGGCTGAAATGATGCCTGGGGTTTGCCAGAAAATACTGCAGCAGGAAGTGGCATGTGGGTGAGAATACAGGTAGAGCAAGGGGGGCCGGGGGTTGTTGGCTGTAGGGACTGAGTGACGAGGACATGAAGGCTCATGATATTACCCCATCTACTCTTCTGATTTAAATTTTCCATTGCAAAGAGATAAAAAAAATGCACAGGCAAAAAAAAAAAAAAATCAAAAAAATTCTTCATGTTCTTCTAGGAGATACAATAGGTAACACATCCCTTTACAAAGTTCAGAGACACCGGAGCAAGGAAAATCCCTGAACATCTACTTCTCCGTGGCTTCTAACTGAACCGTCTTCCGACCTCCTCATTTTAAAAGTCTTTAAATCTTTCTTTAAAAAGAAGACCTTACAGCCAAGGCCCAGAGACCCCGGGGGCACTTACGTGGCTGCAATGACCACCTCCTCGGTGGTGACAGGCTGCGTGTGGGATCGGTCCTGCAGACGCCGCAGCCTCTGCTCTACGGCTGCATTCCTGGAGCGGCGCTTCGGGACGTTCTTCTCGTCAAATGACTTTTCCATTTCCTAAGATTGGAAACAGTGTGAATCCTGATAAGTTGGGGGAAAGGGAGTCGGGGCTGCAGAATGTCGCGACTCTGTTTCCCTGCAGGACCTAGAGGAGGGGCACCCCGAGAGGCAGCATCGGCGTCAGCAGTGCACACACCAGCCACACCGGAGGAGAGAAGCGCAGGTGGGCCCAGGGCCGGCGCAGGCAGCAGGCTGGCCGCGGGGCCGCCCACAGAGGTGACGGCTTCTCCAACAGCCCTTCAGCACATCTTACCCTGAAGAGCAGCCTCTTCGCAGCAACGCTCAGCCTGGCTCGCTCATCGACCTTCTCTTCATCTGTAAAAGGTCACAGGTGAAAACTGGATGTCATTAGAAAACGTAGGGAAAGCCTGTGAAAAGTTTCCCAGGGCTGACCTGGAAATCCTCTGAATGTGAGAATTCTTAGATATACTAAAAATGACAACAGGCAATATTTTCCCCTTGGCGGGGGAGGCTATCCTTCTGCTTCTGAAAAGGTACTAGTTCCCATCGCAATTAACCAAACGGAGCTCCTGTCTGGGCCATAATTTTCTACTATAATATTTGACTTAAGTATAGACATTATGGAATTAAGAAGAGATTTTATGGAAGGAACTTCTCTTCTTTATTGTTAAATAGTAACAAGAAAGCAACAAGAAAAATCTGCTTCTTCGATTCAAATCAGTTGTTTTAACATGGTTCACGTCTCAGCTCTCTCTCTTGGAACTAAGGGAAAGTTCGTGTGAAAATCTCAACTAGGCTTTATTGTATTCACAGGAAGAAAACCTGCCAGAAAGAACGCAGTATGTTCCATCATCTCATTCTTTCCAGAAGCAAAAATCTTATTATCTAAATCTAATCTGGGTGAGATGATAAAGAAGAAAAAGACAGATACTTGCCCTCGGCAGCTGGCATTTCTGAATTTGAAGTTGACCTGGGAAAGACATTAGCAAAAAAATAATAACTAACAATTAGCTGGTGGGAGTGGAAGATCCAAGGATCAAATTAAAAGTGAAAATAAAACTGCAATTAAAGTCTCTTAAAGAATATCCCCCGGTAGCAATTCTAGCTGTGGACACGCGTGGACAGCTGTGGACACGCGTGGACAGCTATGGACACACGTGGACAGCTATGGACACCGTGGGCTACGTGTGCACACAGACCGGCTAGGTGTTTCACCTTGTGCAGACAAACCAGGACCAGGTACGACTCATTAAAGACGACTGATCATCACCCTTTGGACGAACCCTTTCATTTCTCTGCATTCGCATACGATAAGATTAAAAACTCACAGACAACACGCAGGTAGACGTTTATAAACTGAATATAAAATCCCTTATTTTCACTGTAACATCTGGTGGACGGTCCATCTGGATTCTAACTTAACAAGGGCATAAAAATTTTATACCCTTAAATGAATAACGTTTCTCACTTCTTACCATTTGAACGCAACTGAAAACTACGTGGTGATACTGTCGTCATGGTCAACATTCTTTAAAGATACATTTACACGAGCCAAATAAATATCCCGTATAGCTTAGATGGGAGAATTATGGAGTCATCACATCCCATTGAAACAGTATCGGGACCATCCCTGGGATAGAAATTCCCATAGGATTTCTTCTAAGTTCCTAGACCAGGGAACTTGACAGACACATGCCTACCTATCTGATTCCTTTCGTTCTGCTGAGGTTATGGGTTGAGTTCTAAATCTCTCAGAAGTCTTTCTACTTTCACCAGGAGAAAAATAGCGTCTTGGTTTCCGGGACCCTCTCTCCCGTTCCACGCTGGTAGGCAAGCCAGCACCTTCGCTTGACCCCTCGACCCGTGAATGGCTTTTATAGTCGTGGGGAGAAGGTAGACAGAAAGGAGACGGGGAGACAGAGAGAGGGAAGAAAGCACAGGTTTATGCATCTCGGTGAGTCAAGGCACGAACACCGCCAAATCCCACTGCATGCCTCTACCATGCACGTCGGGAGATGGAACATTGCGAGACCCGACACTCTAGAGCTCCCCGTTAGTAGGCGAAAGCAGACTGGTAGTCGTGGAGCCATGTCCTGGATGGTCTGCCCTGCACACACTTGTGAGCTAAGCTAGTAAGACTCAAGGCAGGACACCACACAAGTCGAGAAGTGAATTAACTCTGCCAAGGACGTGCAAGTGACACATCGGGGGGACGCGTGGACATCACCTACAGCTCGGGTCTCTTGTTGGCCCTGGCTGACTGCAGGAACACATTGCAGAGCTGGGTGACGGAGACCTTGGTGTCCAGCAGGCCCACTTCCGACTCAGCCTTGGACGTCTGCGGCTCTGGGTCGCGCTTGGAAGCCGGGGCCGTGGCCTTCGCAGCCTGCAGCTGAGGCGGGCCCGTGTAGTCAGACAGCGAGCGGGTGAGGACCTTGCGCTTCCTCGTGGGCTCTGCCTCCTTCCTGTGACCTTGGGACACAGACTCGCTCTGAACATACACAACCATTTCGCTTCGACCCATCCTCTCCGTGGGCTGCTGAGCTGGAGGTGGGCGGGCCAGGCTTTCAGGTTCCTTCTGAGGTTCCGAGGTGACTGCGCTAGCAGCAGGCTTACCCGAGTCCTCGGTTCCAGAGGGGTCTTCCCGGCTTCTCCCAGGCCCACGATCCTCCAAAGCGAAAAGCGTTTTCCTGCTTTTCTCCAGAGCTTCAGAGAAGAGCACATCGTCCTCTGCTTTTGATTCACAAATATGGAGAACCGGGGTATCTCTTCTCTCACCTTCTAGAACCTTCGAGGGGGGAGGCTTTGTGACGGTCTGGGTGGCCGGCTCCACCCAGCTGTGCTCGGATGCGCTTTCTGGGGTGTCCGAGGTCGCCAGCGTGATGGTGTGACTGGGATCTGCCGGCTGGACGTAGCCATGGACGGGCTGTCGTGCAGAGCTGGCTGCCTTGCCCGAGCCCCTGTCGAAGGCTGAGTTCTCTGACCGAAAGGCCAGGTAATGGCCTGGCACTGGCTGGTGTCTCCTCTGAGTTAAGGACTCAGGGGCAAGTTCAGGGCTGCTGCGAGCACTCTCCTCTCTCACCAGTTTTTCTCTAACTTTAACTCTTTAAGGAAGAAAAAGGATTTAAGTGCAGTAACTGCTTAAGGGGAAGAGAGCATGTGTGTGCAGATCAGGGATGCCCAGAGGATGGAAGAGCATCTTGGGGGCGGGGGCGGGTGGAGTCAGTGTCAGAAACCCACTACTGTTTGCCAGAGGAAGGAGTCTGAGTTGAGTTTCCAAATGCCAGACTCACCCTTCCTTCTGTAAAGCTAGGAGGGGTCAGATGCTATCCTGGGAGAGAATGGATGCCCTCCGACTAGATGACTACACAGAAGCCACAGAACGCTTCATTAATAGGCACCACAGGTATGCACCAGGGCACGCTGAGGCTGGGCTATGGATTGGTACATGTTCCACATGGACAGGCCCAGTGCAAGGGGCAGGGGCAGCTTCCAGGCATTTACAAGCCTACAGACCATATGTAATTTCATTGTCTCCTGCTCGACCTTGTTTACCGCTCAAAATTATATTTACATTCAGAAAAGCTTGGTGCTTGTTGGTCTGAGGTCTAAGAAAATTTTATTTGTGGTAGTTTTGCATTTATTGAAGATCAGTTGTGTGCAGACCTCCGGTGTGGATATTAAGACTAATTCCTACTTTCAGTAGTTAGCTCTCCACTCGTTTGTTCTAAGCTTTTTGTGGTACCTTAGCTAAATCCCTTTGCCCTAGCACCTATTCCCTCTTGTAAGTTAAAGCACAAACTGTAGGCATTTATGAGGTATGTATTGAAAGTGATATTTCTGTGAGCCCCTTCTATTTTTGTGTATAAATATGATTAATAAAAATTGTAGATTCCCACTGAAAAAAAATTTCATTGTCTCCTGTAAATGTCAGAGCATTCGTGATTATTATTATTTTTTATTGAGCTCAAGATATATCAGACGATTACCTCTTTTCAAGCACTCAACAGTCACAAACTTTTTCATGCCATGCAGACTACATTCAATCATTCAGAAAACGTGTGACCAGTTAAGACACCACGACATCTAGCAATTCGAGCGCTAAGAAGAACGGTAGAAAAAAAAGATATTTGTTGAAAGAATTAAGGCACTGAACATTTCCTCCCCTCTGGAATTGCCATTAGGCCCTCAGTTGAAAACTAATCTAAAAAGGGAGGGCTTTGGTTGTTTCTAGAGCTATTTAAATATCTGAGAGCAAAACTGAAATCCATTTCAAGCTACCAACATTTTCTTATGACTGTAGCCAAGAGCGCTGGCTGTGGGTCCCAGGAGACCTCTTTTCAAAGCCTGACTCAGCCAGTTCCAGCTGTATGGTCTCAGGTAACCTACCTGCCCCAGCTGCTTTACCTTTTAAATGGAAATAATGTGATGTCTGCAAAGCACGCGGTTTAGTGCTTAGCGAAGAGTAAATGTCCAATAGTGCAAACTAGTTCTTGTTTTTACTCTTTTAAAATACCACATAGTGAGAAAGAAGAAACCATTCCGACCGCTTAGGAATGGATTCCTTCCTGGGGATAATCTTTAAAAAATAAAGAAATGCTTTTGAAGTGGGAAAAGCGATTTCTTGCGGAATGTAAGACCTTTATTTACTCAAGATTACTCAGCAAAGATAACTGCTTCTGATATTTTTTTTTGGAAGGGACTATCTCCTTAAATGACAAAGGCACCCTGCTAAATCTGATATAAATGCCTACATGTTTTTCAGCGTAAGATGCAAGGTATCTATCTATATTTCATTAAAAAAAAATCAAAGACACCTAAAAGGCAGTTACTATGAACAATTCAGAGGGGAAAGAAAGCATTCTGGGTTGTTACTCTTCCCAGAGACCAGCCAGTGCGGGATGTTTTCATATTTATAATCTTTGTTAATCAAAAGGCGGCTGAAACGTGGTTCAAGTTCTCCAGCGGAATGTGTGTCCTTCTCATCAGAGACAATCTGAACGTTGTCCTTGGCCAAGAACAAAGTGACTGTCAGAAACTCAATATACGGGTGTTTTGTCCGCCCAATGACTTATTCATTCTAACTCCTTCTGCCTCTCCCTGCCCCCAGCCTTAACAATGAAACGAGAGAGGGTTTTGTCTGCTTTGAAAACCACATGCCCTAAATGTAGCTGTGCAAATGAACAGATGGTTGAGGGGCAGGCAACGCGGAGAGGAGGAGGCTGGATGGGCAGGGCGGGGCAGGGGCAGCTGCTGATGAGATAGGACACTAGCCGGTTAGCCTGGCTCAGGGGAGCAGCCCAGAGATGCTGGTTACATCGTCACTACTGCCCCTTTCTGGCAGCACGTGACTGTGGGAAAGGAGAAAAAGCCAGAGGTGTAGCCAAAAGATTTTCCAAAAGAGAAGCTGAGGGAAATACTATTGACATTAGCAGGGATTAGGGCAGGAGAAAGAGAAAAGCAAATGATTGGAAGGTAACTTCCAGCAGCCCCTTTGGAACACATGACTTTTAAAAGCCCTGCCACCAAAAAGAGGGCAAAGAAGAGTTAGTTTCGGTGATGTGCGGGACATAAGGCAGCTGGACCAGAGATGCAGTCGCTAAACGCAGGCCGAGAGCTCGGGAGATACCTGGAAGGCCAGTTGATAAGTGAAGGTGTGTCCCCTTCGGAATCTTTCTGGAGAAACCACTCATGTTTGGGTTTCCCGGTACTATTGTGTACAAAAAACAAAACTTCAGGTAATGTCTATGAAAATGTTGACATATACACAGACTTAATTATTATAATTTAAAACTCTCAAGGCTGATTTTTCTTAAGTAAAGAATAATTCTGGCTTTTGAAGATGTCTAAGCACGTTTTGCCATGGGGTTTCTATTCAGTTCACGGAATTTCTAGGACGTTTGGTTCAGTGCTGAAATCAAGAGATCGACTAAGTATATCTGAAGCCACCAAATAAAGTGTTTTTTGGGTCATTTAAAAGTATCAGGAGTCACACTCTGCCCACAAATAGCAGACAATTCTCTTGTAAGAAGCTGGATTAAAAATATCAATTAATTTATCATCTATAATTGTGTTACGGTACACTGGTAAATAGCGAAATATAAAAATAGCGTCCATGGGCTTCCCTGGTGGCACAGTGGTTGAGAGTTCGCCTGCTGAGGCAGGGGACGTGGGTTCGTGCCCCGGTCCGGGAGGATCCCACATGCCGTGGAGCGGCTGGGCCCGTGCGCCATGGCCGCTGAGCCTGTGTGTCCGGAGCCTGTGCTCCGCAACGGGAGAGGCCACAACAGTGAGAGGCCTGCGTACCGCAAAAAAAAAAAAAAAAAAAAAATAGTGTCCATGCAAAACAGTACATATCAAATAAAGGTAATAAAGAAATTCAATAAGTTCATATCTTTAATTGCTAGTCTATATTTTCCTTTTATATTTGTCATTGAACAATGCAGCCAACATAACAGTTACCAAATACTAATGCAAGTCCATCTGATAAATGCTTACTGAGTTCCAACTATGTACAAAGCACTGAGCTGGGCTCTGAGAAGTAGCAAAGGTGAATCAGTACCATGCCAGCCATTAAAAAACTTACACCGTGCTAGGCAGGATAAAATAGGATTTATACATTCACTCCTCAACGCACAATCGAATATAATGCAAGCCTGAGTGTGACAAAGTAATAACGCCAGGCTGAAGATATCTTACCAAAAAATCATAGGCAAGGAAAACCTTGTGGTCATTATGTAGAGCAAGACACAGGAGGAATACTCAAACCACCGACCTGTACCCTCTCACAATGTAAAACGAAAGCATGGAAATTCTACAGGCTAGTTAAAATGTTTACCAGCTCAAAACCTTGCCAACCTACCTGTAAGAGTCCTTCAAGACCAGGCTGGAAACACATTTCAGATCAAAGTAATTTCCAAAAGAATAGAATAGAATAATAATTAAAATTCTCTTAATTTTCTAAAATCATTTTAATTTGGGTTTGGGTTTGAGCTCACAGGCAAGAACCTGTCGATCATCACTACCGTGCATTTTGCTGCGACCACTGAAATCTGTCACAACTAGGTGTGGAACTAGGTGTTCCCCAGTCTTGCTACACCCAAAGCAATTACCCCTCCACCCCTCCCTGTCTCCAGTATTATAGCCGGGGGTAAATAAAAAAAGTCAGATGTATGGGAAGCCATCTTATTTCCAACAATAAAGGGTCTAATTTCTCGACATTTATTTAAACATAGGAAGAGTCTGGCATATCCTCTGTGGCCCGGAAAGGAGGCAACGGATGTGGCTCAGGATACAGACGAAGAAGTGAGAGCGATGGATGCCTGCTTTGGAAATCATCAGTTAGTAACTCATACGCCTACATCCCAGAGTCATTTCAAGGCTCAAATGCTTTCTGTACGACAGAATGCTTTGCAAACTGTGACAGATGCTATACAACTTTCCGAATATAACCTTCATTGATCAGAATAAACCTTGGTCAGTATCGCCCTAAAAAATTATCAGGCCACGTATGAGACAAATAAGTTGTCAGGATGTAATGTACAACATGGTAAATATAATGAACACCGCTGTATTTTATATATGAAAGCGGTTAAGAGTACATCCTGAGGGTTCTCATCACAAGGAAGAATATATTTTTTCTGTCTCTTTGACTTTGTATCTATAGGAGATGATGATGTTCACACACTCAACTTACTCTGGTCATCGCGTCATGACGTGTATACGTCAACTCATGACGTTGCACACCGGAAACTTACACAGTGCTGTATGCCAACTATATCTCAATAAAACCAGAAGAAAAAAATAAAGATAAAAGCAAAGACAAACAAAAGCAAACAAACTTATCAGGGGGTTGTTTAAGAATATGTTGAGGTCAGCATTTGTAAAATGAAGTCATACCCAGACCTGGGGGATCTGCTGGGATCCATTTATCCATCACAACTTAGATGTGGGACTAGCCAAAAAGCCAAATAACCACTACCATCGTGGTGGATACTCAAAGCTTGACGCTTCACATATGATAAATACACATGTATGTGACAAGATGTAAACGAATGTGAAGACATCACGTGTTGACCGCAGTGAGCCCTTCACGATGCTGGTCTCCTCCTTGCCTTTCCTCTCCAAGACGACACAGCACTGCACATCTGTGAGTTCCTGGTGAGTCACCTCCCACATGTAAGGAGAGTGGGTCCAGCCTGAGTTCTCCCTAAGTCAATTCAAAGCAGGAGGGATTTGGAAGAGCACTTCTCCAAGTAAGGCTTTCAGGACCCTTGAGGTCGGCCAAGGCACTTACTAGGGTGAGGTTTTCTGCCATCAAATCCAGAAAGAAGGTGGGGCAGGTGGGGAGAGACCTAAATTTAATGAAACGTTCACTGTCCACAAGGCTGTCCTGGGCACTTGGTCTGCTCCGTGTCACAGAGTGTGGCTGCTTCTCCACCCTTCTCTGACTCACCCACTGCAGCCGGCGGTCGCCCCCTTCACCTGCCCCTCCTTCACTCCTCACCGTCCTTGTCGACTCTGCCTCCCCGCCTGCCCCTCTAAAGCTCAGGGGGCTCCACGGCTCTGCCTCCCTTCCTCCTCAATAATCAAGGCCGTGACGATCTCACCAGCTTTCACTCCCCTGCGGACCGTCTGCCAGTGGTTTCTCCCCATCCGCTCCCTCCCTTGAACTCAGGCTCTTGGGTTCATTTCCATTTGGGCACCTAACAGACACCTTAAAGTTTACGTGTCCAAACATGAACTCTCGATTTCCCTCCAAACTCAGCTTGTACTGGTGTCTTCCCTATTTCAGCAAATGGCAACGCCCCGCTCTGAGCTGCCCCGGCCAGAAAACCGAGACTCACCTTTAACTCCTCTGTTTCCCTCTTACGTCACATCCAAGCCATCAGCAAATCCTATTGGTTCCCTTCAAAAGATGACCTCTTTTCACGACCTCTGCTGCGTTCACGCAAGTTCAAGCCACCGCCCTCTCTCACCTAGATTACTGAGATGACCTCTTAATTATTCTACCTGTTCTCATGCTTGCCCACCTACCAGTTCCACAGCCACAGTCATCGTCTTAAAATGGGAGGCGGATTGGTCATTCTTTTCTTGGAAACCCTTATATGGCTGCACACATCACCTAGAGCAAAACCCAAAGCCCTCACGATGGGCAATATGTCCCCACTGATCTGCCCACCTCACCTGACACATCTCACCGATGTCACCCCATCACTCCACCCCCCTCCAGGCTCCTGCCTCACTGGTGACTGGGGGTTGCCTCAAACGCTCCACACATGGTGTCCACTCAGGCCTTTGCAGGGGCTGTTTCTCCCTGGAACCGTCCGCCTCCAGAGCTGCATGGCTCACTGCCTCTCTTTATGTCGGTCTCTGCTCCACTGCTATCTTATCAGAGAGACTTTCCTAACCACTTTAATATCAAATAGCAGCCCCAATCGCTTCCTTTTTCTTAATCATGATTTTTAAAAATTTTAATTATTTTCTATTCCTTGAAGTATAGTCGATTTACAATGTTGTATTAATTTCTCCTGTACAGCAAAGTCAGTTAGGTTTATTACAGGATACTGAATATGGTCCCCAGTGCTCTACAGTAGGACCTTGCTGTTTATCCATCCTGTAGGCACTAGTTTGCATCTGCTCACCCCACACTCCCACTCCATCCCTCCCCCAGCCCCCTCCCCCTCGGCAGCCACCAGTCTGTTCTCCATGTCTGTGTCAGTCTCTTCCTTTTGATTAAAGGTATGCCCTGGCTCCCCAAAATGGTGAATTGAAGTGCAGCACTGATCTCGCTAATCCACAGGCTCCCAAACCTAGGGAACATGATGGAAGTTTGGGACCAAGCTTTCCACCACGGAGCTAGGGGAGGCCCAGGCTCAGATGAAAAGATACATCATTTTATTAAGGGACAAAATTTATTTCTGGGGCCTGGGGGGCATTGTTTTGAAGACATAATAATAGCAGGAGAGTGTTTTAAAATATGAAAAAAAAAAAAGATCACATCTGGAGAGTGGCAATGAAGCCAAGGGTTCTTTTCTCTTTGTTTTTTAAATCTTGCATGGATGTTGTTATTTTATGTCTCTTAACATTATGCTTAACTCTTTTTTAATAATTACGCTCGGTTAACAAGCTAACAGTGGGAAGGATTAGTGTCATACAAACATAATGAGTTGAATATATGACACTACCAGCCTATGTAGGAGAGCTAAGTGAGGTCCTTACAGAGTCAAGAATCGATGTAGGTGGAGAGAGGCACAGCGGTGACGAAACTTTTTCTCTCTAGACAGGGGTAATGCTTACACATTTCCCCAATTCACCAGCCTGTGTCCTTAAAATACTACATGCAGTTTGATGTAAATTATCCCTCAATTTAAAAATATATCACTGTTGGGGCTTCCCTGGTGGCACAGTGGTTGGGAGTCCGCCTGCCGATGCAGCGGACACGGGTTCGTGCCCCAGTCCGGGAGGATCCCACATGCCACGGAGCGGCTGGGCCCGTGAGCCATGGCCGCTGAGCCTGCGCGTCCGGAGCCTGTGCTCCGCAACAGAAGAGGCCACAACAGTGAGAGGCCTGCGTGCCGCAAAAAAAAAAAAAAAAAAAAAATATATATATATATATATATATATATATATATATATATATATCACTGTTGGGACATGGAGAACAGACTTGTGGTTGCCAAGCGGGTGTGGGGAGGAAGGAGTGGGAGT